AATTGGCCAATCTGCTACAATTTGAAATGATACTTAGGGCACAAAATATGCCAATTTTTAGAATGCATAAATATTTACTTCCCACTTTTCGGAGGACAAGATTCTAGATTCAGCGATTTTAGAAGGCTGACTTTTGGATTCAAACAAACACAGGATCAAGGTTAAAGCCCACAAATACAGATAATTCATAGGAAACAATGTAATTTGAAGGAAAAAAAGGCGCATCCGACAGCCAAAATCACTGAATGTTTTTTACTCTATCTGTTCATGATATCAGCTAAGAGTACTGCGATGCAGTGGACTCTGATCAAAAGAAATAGAATAGAAGATGTCTGTATCACTTTCGATCTCTAGTTCTGTGTAGATGAGTAACGGATGGGTTTCGGGTTTGCAGGAGTGAGCACAGCTTCATGGATGCATTCCGGGAACGTCTGAACTTTCGTACACGACGTGAATCACATACATCCACTTGCGACAATGAAATGCTTGATGAAGGTAAACATTTACAGATTGCCTTCGTTTGCTCTCTAGTTTTATCGAATCTAAAGTATTCTAAAGTAATGAGAGATTCCTTCGCATGTGAAAATCGAATTCCGCTTCGCTCCTTCATGAAGAATACCCCAGTTCACAAGCTTGGCAAGATTTCGCTATAGTTTTTATTATTCTTCGCAATTTGCAGATCTTGGACATCCGCCAACTTGTCCCGGTACTCCTCCAGGAACATATGTGGGCTCGCTGCAGTCTGATTCACTCCTCAGTTCCTCGTTTCGGTCAAGGTCACGATCCGATGTATCAAGTCCGCCACCAATACCACGTCAGAGCATGGGAACAATTGTGCTTTTCCCAAATTGTTCGGAAAAGAAACCGCGATGTAAGACTCTTTTTCAGCTGATATTCATAATAGAGTTATTAATCAGGATATACATAAAATTATATAAAAAAACTGGATGAACAAAAATGTTTCATCCCAGTGTGATAGACATTATCATCACAACTAGACTTCATCAGTACGACGGTTGTGGTGTTGATAAAATAAATGTTATTCTGATTAGTTCTGGAACAATTATAATTCGTAGTCTGTTTAGAAGCCATATTATGCGTTATAGCTGATTTAAGCACTCCAAATAAGCATTCATATTCAATTTCTTATTCTTCTACTGTGTATTGCCATTGAAATTCAAAATTCCCGTTTAGGGTTAAAGAAAAAATGTGAGAAAAAACGATGAAAAGCATGTAAGGAATTATTAATGTAGGTAAGAAATGTTTCGGTCCGTTTGTATTTGCTCTGCGCGAGAGCGAAGATAAGCGGAATTGACTCCTGAGTAGTG